TCTCTCTCTCTCTCTCTCTCTCTCTCTCTCTCTCTCTCTCTCTCTTTCTCAGTGTGTGTCTCTCTTTACAACATCCCGATGCAGGCAGTCCGTCGCCCCGCACCCACACAGAGTTGTCACCCCGCTTAGTCTGAGTATGCAAGCCAGGTTTGCCCGTGCGCCACAGTCCGTCGCGGCCCCACGTCAACCCCACATACTCAGCACCAGCACGTCGGGTTGCCTAACTCTCTACTCACCTCCCGATACCTGCTCGTAAGCCGATCCTTTTGATCACGCTAACTCCAAAATTTATAGAGAGCGAGTGAATCGCGCTCGCGCAATTTATAACATGCATGCTTGTGCGAGATACTCGGGATTGTGTCGGAGTGGGAAGGAAGGAGGAGGAAGGAAGTGCCTACGATTACGTGGCCAGGCAGCGACGTGGGGGATGTAGTCGCACTCTACACATCGATCCAGTCATGCATCGCTTAGGCCAATAGGATTTGAATGTACGCGCGCAGGAGCTCCACAAAAAGATATTAAGAAGGAGAAGATTACAGTTACAATTACGCCCGCCAAGGCAGAAATTACAGTTACACGCAAGATTAAGTTGTGGAAAAGTCAGAGCACACATCCTGATGCGACTAAGTGCCCTCAAGCAAGAAGTGTCGTGCAACAAAATTGTGATGTACCCAAAATCCTAGCCTAAATCCTAATTACAAAAAGAAATTATGCGAGAAGAAAATTCTGAGACCCCGTGGGTGCTGGACATCAGTTGAAAATTCAAAAAGATTTTCCCACACGACGATTGCGACAAAATTCCCCATTCCTACAGCAGAACAAGAAAGAAGCTATGACAAGAGTTATCTCCTCGCTCTGTAAGGCGCGATTATCACCAACCGTCACGGACCATGCCAGCCTCAAACCCCGAATAAAGAACAAGGGCATTCTCACTCACCCAACAGTAAAAAAATCTCTGTATAACTAAATCAGTACGGGACTCAAACGGCAAAGGAACAAAAACGATGTACTTACTAAAACGGTCAACTATGACCATGACTTGGCTCTTGCCATGCCTACTTTTGACTTGAGTGTCCATGAAGTCTATCGACACCGAGTCTCCCGGCTGATCCGGAATGGGCAAGGGTCTAAGAAGACCTAGCGGGGCGCGTGTAGAACTCTTGTTATGCTGACAGACTTTGCAACTGCGAACATACTCTATGCAATCATTCTTCATTCCTGGTCAGGTATACGCGCGCATGAGATTGGCTAAAGTCTTTTGCCAACCGAAATGAACCTCTGTATGATGACATTCTCCCAGGATCAAACTATGGATCTCTTTGCTATTGGGGATGCACAGGCGGTCAAACACGTTAGTCTTCTAAAAAAGCAACCCTTCTGTAGTGCGGTAGTCCGGTTCGGTCTCTGGGGCCTTTCTAACTCACGCGAGGAACTCGCTGTAGATATGGTCCTCTGCGTAGGCTTCTCTAACCTTCTGTTGTAGGTCCTTCCCTATATCGAGGTAATGCACTATCGCCCCAAGGTAATTTGACCTCCTACTCAGAGCGTCCGCAACTACGTTGTGCTTCCTCTGACAGGCTTGAGCTCAAAGTCGTACTGATCTATTTCTGCGGCCCATCTAGTAAGCTTAGGTGTCATCTTGGCCTGCGTCTTTAACCATCATAACGTTTTATGGTTATAATAGACTTTGAAGTGCCTCCCAAGCAAGTAGTGCTTCCAGTGGTCTAACGCTTGCCTGAGAGCGTAGAGTTCCCTCTCATAGGTAGATGTCGCGACCTTCTCTGAAGACATTCTAGCGGAGATGAACTCTACGAGTCTATACCCATTGCCATCGTCTTGTTGTAACACCGTGCCTATGCCGTACTGGCTAGCATCCGTAGTAACGACAAAAGGCAAGTACGGATTGGGACCTTAAAGACCGGATACTCTATCAACGCCTGCTTTAGCTTCTTCATGGCAGACGTGCAGTCCTTGTCACACTTCCAGATTGTCTCTTTTCTCAGCAATCTGCGAAGGGGCGTAGCGATGGTGGAGAAGTTCCTCACGAACTTCCTGTAGTAATTCGCTAAGCCCAAGAATGAGCGTAACTCTGTCAGCGTACGGGGCGTGGGCCAATCTCTAATCGCAGAGATCTTGCTATCCTCTGGCTTGAGGCCGTCTCTGTCTAAGAAGTGGTCGAGATACAGAACTTGGGTTTTCGCCCAATTGCACTTCTTCGCATTGATCTTGAAGTTAGCTTACCTCAGCTTCTCCAAGACCTGCCGGAAATGACCCTGATGCTCTTCCAGGGTCCGGCTAAACACTAGGATGTCATCCAGGTAAACTACAACAAATTTGTCTAACCACAACCTGAACAAATCGTTCATACAGCGCTCGAACGTAACTGGCGCATTGGTTAGTCCAAAGGGCATCACTATAAACTCGTAATGCCCGTACCTAATCCGGAAGGCTGTCTTATACTGATGATCAGGATGTACCTCTATTTGATGATATCCAGACTTTAAATCTATCTTAGAAAAATACTTGGCCCCCTGCACTCGATCTAAGAGATCGTCTATCCTCGACAGTGGCTCAACATTCTTCACTGTGATAGCATTCAGACCCCTATAGTCTATGCACATTCTCAGCTCTCCCTCTTTCTTAGGAACAAAGAGAACAAGCACTCCGAAAGGAGACGAACAGGGCCTAATCAAACCCTTATCGAGGAACTTGTCTAATTACTTGCGAAGCTCCTCTAACTCCCGCGAGGACATCCTATACACAACACCCTCAGGAGTTCTACTGCCAGACTCTATCTCAATACGGTGCTGGATGGGCCGCGGCACTGTGCCTGTCGGCGTCTCGGTCAAATCTTTAAACTCTTCCAGCAGCTTGGCAATCGCAGGGTCCATCGGCTTTTCTTCCGTAGGCTCAGTGACTGGCTTAACATAGGCAACAAAGACCTGTTCCTCCAATCCCTCCTTCACCAAATCTGGGGAACGCGGGGGCACTAAGGCAGCAATGCGCCAGAGAATTCTCTACCCCTCACACATAAAACAGGCGAGCAGTCTTAGCCTCGCCTGCAGAACCTGGGAGCCTACACTCGTGCTCCTTCAGATGGAGCGTTGCCCCAGTTGCCTCTCCCCAATCCATTCCCAACACAATATCAAACGGGAGGCTGTCTTCTATGACGAGAGTCAAGGAGTGGAGAACTTTCTCCACTTTCCCATCTTTCTCTAGGCAGAAATACGCCTGGACTCCCTCDACGTAATCCTCTACAACCATGGTACGATTGTCTGCGAGGATACTAGCTATGGGGTCTGTCAGTTTCTGGACTTTAAGTCCCAGCCTTAACTTCTGCAGCGCTTTCTTAATAATATAGCTGCGAGTGGCCCCTAAGTCTACTAGGGCCCCTACTCTACTTCTAAAAACCTCTGTACCTAGCAATATAAGCTGCCCTTTGTTCTCCTTCTTCATCTTGGCCCAGGCGGGCATCCTCTCCTTCAATTCTTCGGCCACGCCTGTGAGGGAGGTGTCTAGCGAAACTCTAACATAAGTAGTTTCGAGACAACTGTCTAGACACCGGCCTGCAACCTCTGCCATAGGCACATGTGGTGTGGGAGTCTCCTGCCGGCTAGCGCTATTTTCCCCACATGGCCTAGTGGTAGGGGCAATTGCTACCCCTACCGGCGGCTGCCTTTTGGCCCTTGGGCAGCCGTTGATGATGTGGCCCGGGTCACCGGAGAAAATGCACTGGCCCCGGTCCAATCGTTGTTGCCATAAAGCCTGGTCCGGACCCAAAGATTCCCAAGGCCTACCCTGAGGTAGCCCTGGGTGCCATCGTCCTACTCTATAGGGAGACCTATTCCTAGCACGGTTTTGCGAGGGACCTTGACCCCTGCCTCCCGCTTGGCGGTTTCCTCCTCTGCCGCCAACCCCCTGATCGCCCTGGAACCGACTCCCTGAGGCCCGGCCCCCTTGGCCCTGTCCGCTTCCTCCTTGCGGCCTCCCTCCAGCCGCGACAGCAACGTAGGATCTCCCCTGGCCCGCACCGCTGTCCTCCTCCTCTAACCCCCACTCAATCTGATCGTAGGGGATCTCATCCACAATACCCTCGTCTAAAGTCAGGACAAGGTTGTCCTTAGTGTTTCTCTGCCCTGAGATAGTGCGGCCTTTCCTTTGCTTTCCCCTGTCCAAATCCTTGTGCCAGAAGGTAGACAGGGACACGGACTTCGCTTCAAAAGCCACCACTTCACAACTAAGGGAATCGTAAGCGGTGGCACGGTCTTCCCTCTTCGCAAAGAACTGCCCTCGAAAGGCTTCGGGCATAGCACGGTAAAAGAGGTTGACCAACTGGCCCTTTGTGACCCCGTGGTCAGGGACAACCACCAGCTCATCCATTGTACCCTTGAGTGCCCTGACACTCTTCCATTTACGAGAATGGATGGTTTGGAGCTTGTCTGAGGCCTTAACACTGCGAGCGACGTCTGCGAATCACTCGCGCAACAATTTCAAGAATTATGTGAGGGACGTAAACGAGGAGTACACAACCGGAGCATCACTACAGTTGGCAGCGGGGACTAGGGACCTTGCGAGCTGGCGGCCTCATCTCTAAGCGCGTGGATCGCAATTAGGACTTGCTGATCCGGAGAGACCTGTTGCAGATGCACATAGGTCTTAACGTTGGCCTCCCAGTTCTCAAAGTTCTCTTCCCTTTTTCCACTGTAGGAATCAGGGAATTTGACCTTGACCGGTTCCCGGCGAGGAGGTCGTGCTTCCTCCTCCTTGGGGGCTGCCGCCTTTACGCCCTCAATGGCGCCAGCATAGAGTCGTTCGGTCTTGTCGAGGCGGTACCCCACCTAGGCTCCAACATCGCCTACCAACTCACGAGCGAAGTCCCGAAAGCCCAACTTTATCGAACGCACAGCTATGTGTTGGCTCCTGCTAAACTCATATTGGTCTGCCTGAATCTGTGTCAGGCGTGCGACGCTTCGGGCTATGACCCGCATCTGGGCTGGGAGTTCAGTATGGGCGGCTACTTGCTCTTCTAGCTTTTTCACCTCCTCTAATTCTTCCGCCGCCCCCGCTGCCCTGTCAACTCCTCTCTTCTTCTCCCTCATCACTGCTAATTTCCACTCCATCCTCTTCTCGTCTTCCAACGCCTGTCGTCTAAGGGGATCTTTCTCCGCATCCCAAGCCCTCATGGCAGCCTCTTGCTGATCCTGCGGGATGTACATACGAAGTTCTTCCTCTTCTCCCACAGACAAATTGGCAACCCATTCGGATATCCTCTTCTCTAGGTCCCCACCATTGCTGCCACTGTGCTGCCCACTACTCTTTTGCAGTGGCGGACCTTCCTCTTCTTCATCCACCTCCTTCAACTTCTCTTCTTCTTCCTTTTTCAACCTCTCTTTCTCCCTGGCCATCTCTTCTTCCATCTTCTTCAATTTGGCCGCCTGTTCCTCTTTCAAGGCCTTCTTTTTTACCTTCTTCTTCTCCTTTCTCTCCTGGAGGATGGCGACCATCTTCTCCTCCTCCTCTTTCGTGTATGGCTGGGTGAAAGTACCACCGCGAGTGGGCCCTACTCTACACGTGAAAGTGGGCCAAAAGCCCAGAGGAAAGAGGAGACGCAAGAGGGTCCCCCAGAGAGAGAACCCAACCAACAACCCATACATCGGATAGTCGTCCATTGTGGCGTCAGGTGCACGACAGTGTCCCACTCCTCACCACTTAGACCTACCCGAACACACTGACCTACTGACTGACTCTCTAAGATCCACTACTCACAACTATTCTAAGGCTGTCACTACAAAACCAAAAGCTGATCAGGAGGCATTTAAGGAGATCCCCCAAACTCCGCAGGAATTCTTTAACATCGCAATAGGACGATGCGATCAGCTTGGCTCCTCTGGCGATTTCAGCCCACAACTCAGCCCGTCCAGCCTCCTGTGCCACACCGCGCAGCCCGCCGGTCGGTACCGGTCCTTGGAGGGGTTCGTGTCCCTCGGGTCAGTCGAGTAGTCAGACGCGGATCATCAGCCTTCTAGGTCCGGTAGGGGAGTGGCTCAACCAGGCCTCAACACTTAAGGACGACCTTCGTTTCAGCCTACAGCTCGGAGTTCGGACCCTCCACACTGAACTCAGTAGACCTGCTGGACAGTACCGGTCATTGGGTTAGACGAGTTGTTAAACGAGCGCTCGCCGCTCATGCCCAGGTCTCCAGATGCCAGAGTAGAGCTTTGGTCCTACTAAGCCCGTGCAGGTTTGGCAGCTAGGCCCTATCCTTCATCCACAGAGTCCTAACACCTAAGACAGAAGAGACTTAATGCAGAAAGAGTGGACAGACAAACTCAGCAAGTACCGTGGGGTAAGTGCACATCCACAGGGTAGGGGGATAGGCTGAGGGTTCATCGAGATATCACCAACTCCAGCTTGGTCAAAATCTTGGTCAGTAGCTCCGGTCAACGCCTTAATCAACGCCGAGTCAACACGGACAAGCCCCGGTCGGCGCTTGGTCAACCACCCTGGTCAACGCCTGGTCAACCCTCTGGTCAACCCTTGGTCAGCCCTCTGGTCAACGCCCTGGTCAACGCCCGGTCAACCCTTCACCTCGGCTATGGCTGCCGGCACCTTCACCTTCGTCACCCTCGCCGTCTACGTCCCCGTCCTTCACTTTCTTTCTCTTCACTTTCGCTGTATTTTTTTTTATTTTTTATTTTTTTTGTGCTCGCCTCCGGCTATGTCTGTCTTCTTCTCCAACCTCCTCCTTCCACACTTCTTCTTCTCTCCCCTTAGTCCCTCCTGCTCTGTCCTCCCTTTCTCTCTCCTCCGGCACTCTGTGTCAATGCTCCTCGGCTATGGCCGCCGTCTTCCTCCTCCACCAGACTCCACAGCTCGGCTCACAGGTAAGTGACAACCAATCTTGGATCGCTCATCTCTCTCTCTCTCTCTCTCTCTTCCGCCATAGCGGTATCTTCAGCGCAGCAGGTAAGTAACCAATCTTGTATCACTCATCTCTCTCTCTCTCTCTCTCTCTCTCTCTCTCTCTCTCTCTCTCTCTCTCTCTCTCTCTCTCTCGTGGTCTTCTTGTTGCAGGTGCACGGCGTCTTCTTCCACCTTGAGGTCTGCTATGGCGGACTGCCTCCTCCGGCGGGCACTTCAGCTATGGCACCTCGGCCCTGCACACATCGCGCGCGTGAAACAGCGGGTACCTGCTCCGATACCAGTGCAATCAGACTCGACTTAGTCACACTTCGACATGCATGCAACCAGCGATACAGCAAACTGGCGACATGCGCCCACACAGTACTCAAAGATATCCTCACCAGATAAGTGTTCTCTTCCCACTGGCTATGGCGACTGCGCGCCCACACAACTCACTGTTCACACTCGAGATCACCCTGGATGTCCCACACGCAACACTCAGTGTTTATACGCAACACACGCACACACACTACACTACAGCTATGGCAGCGCTAGCTGCCACCACCCTATCGCTGTACTACACTTCTCTGCCCACTTCGTCTTCGGGCGCACTGCAGACCTCCTCGCACAAGCTGCTGAGGCAGCGCTTCCGCATGGCATCCGCAGGAATCAATGAATGGCTGGACGCAGCCTCTTGATTTATACTTCTGCGCTGCGTTGGTCTGCCCTGTATCCCTTAGCCAACGATGTGCACACAGTCCCAGACGGTACTTGCTGAACAGGACCGGACTGACTAACTGGGACTGTTGACTCAGCAAGGTGGTCTACCACCACTTGACCACTTGCCTCTGTTAAACGCAGGCTAACTCCGAAAGGCCACTTCTAGAAGTCTCTAACTTGGCCTTTCGGTACTGTAGCAGCTACGACTTTGCCCTTTCAGGTAAGTATCAGCTACGACCTTGACCCTTCAGACATCCTACAACTACGACTTCGGAACTGTCTAGACTCCTACCCTACAAGTCTACAGTTCCATTCCCTTCTAAGCTGTGACCTACGACAATCTACCTACCACTGGCGTTTCGACAGGTCGCAGGTTCAAATCTACGGGTTGACATCAATACTGTACACAGGTAAGATGGGGAACTAGGGATCAAGCCCTGGGATCTGCATTCGCTACTGCGAATTGGTGAATACCTTTTCAAATGTTAAAAAAAATGGTTAAAAATCATAGGCGTGTAGAGATTTTTTTTGCCCCGAAAAATTTATGGAGGTTTCATGCCCGCACTCGGCCGCGGGCGGTCGGCCGCCACGGTCTGGATCCTGACCGCGGGCGGTAAAATGGCCCGCGTTTGCGACTGTGGGTGATACATAGCATTGTATGGTTCCCTGCCTGGGAAATTCGTCATGTGCAAAGTCCTTCAAGGAACTCACTATGCGGACAGTCCATTGTCCATCCGGTTTCTGACTACTGTCCGAGCAGGTTTTTCATATGGACAGTGGACAGTAAGGGCCTCGTTTGACACCACTGAAAAAAAGCTGAATTTCTAGGAAGCATCACTCCACAGCACCCTTCGCTAATGACGACTACTTTGAAGTCAGGGCGGACAAAACGCTTTCGACACTGTGTCTTGTAGTGCGGTCATGGCGTCTGGTACTAGTGAACTCACAAATTGGAGTGCTGTGTAGTGGAGCAATGCCGCACTTCCACTGTTTTCGCTCACTCTGACAGCTGTCCACAAACTTAACAAGCTGTTGTATAGCCCACAGTAGTGGAGCAAGGCCCCTTTTCTCGTTTTTCATTAAACCACCAGTACTTCCGTAAGTCCCCCCCTTTAACAAGCCACAATTTAGGTTTCGGACATGTACGGGTCACTGCAGGAGCGCCCAAGACATCCGACCACAAATGTTTCTCCTCTATATTTTCTCCACGGCCGATAGCTGGGCTAAGCACTGGTGGTTTAAGCAGGAAGATCTGGAGGTATCATCATAGGGCTGAATACCCGCAGGCATATTCACTTCATCAGTTGACCAGGATTTGAACCCCCGCCTGTTTATCATTAGACAGGAGGGAATACGACAGGAAACAACCGAGCAGATGCCATTCTTGGGGACAGGAAATGACGAAGCAGATGCCATTTTTGGCCTATAATTCCTTTTTTTTTTTTTTTTTTTTTTTTTTTTTGGGTGGTCGCTTGGTTGTAACGAGTCTTGGGGAGGCCCACCTCTCACATACGGAAGGGATGTGTGAGACACCTTTAATCATTTCATAAAACCAAGAAGGGTCAATTTTTTTTGGTTTTCATGAAGAGGAAAGACCTGGAGGTATCATCAGAGGGCTGAATGACTCCCGGTACTTCAGATTTTGAGTTCATTGTGTTGGTAGGATTTGAACCCTAGGGCCAAGTCCCACTTACGCGTTGAGCTAGGTCCTCCTTGATATTTCAACCACTGGCCACACAGGGCGACCTCCGCGATAGAATAGATTCAGCAAAGAAAGATAGTGTGGGTGTGCAGCTGGAAAAGTTCACAATAATGAAATAAAAAAGTTAACATGGTGCAGAGAGGTGCAGAGAGAGGCAGTGGGCCTCGCGTGGACGGTGAGCTAGCTGACTTGTGGTAAAGTAGTCAGCGAGCTCAATGATGACTGTGCCATCATTACCTCCTCGTGGGGAGGGCACTGTGACAAGCCCTGGAGGACACTGACAGAGAGTCTTCATGCTGGCGTGGACGGTGAGCTAGCTGACTTGTGGTGGAGTAGTCAGCGAGCTCAACGATGACTGTGCCATCATTACCTCCTCGTGGGGAGGGCACTGTGACAGCCCTGGAGGACACTGACAGAGAGTCTTCATGCTGTCTTTGGCCGTGCAGCCCCAAATTCGTTTCCTCTATTTGGGCTGTGAATGCACCAAGCCAGCCATGTTCTTTTCGCGTTCTAGTGAGGTCCCTGTCTCCCACTTTGCCTTGTCTGAGGAGCGTTTCACGGAGGAGTGCTTTATTTCTCTGTTTTAATTCTTTGAAAATACAGACAAAAGCTTTCAGTGGCATACCTTTCTTCATTTAATTGTTTGAAAAATAGGCATGAAATATTTCAGCAGCATTTGATTCTCTTTTTTCTCATTTGTTCTTCATTTTTAATTAGCAAAAAATGTGTCACACGGTTGAGCTAGTTCAAGTCAACGGTGTAAGTGGGACTCGGCTCCTGGAGGGAGATCCCGCTACCCATGTATTTGGAATTTTGGATTAGTGTGCTATCCCACTACCCATGTATTTGGATTAGTGTGACGGGTATGGGACGGGTGGGGGACAAGTGGGTGGCAGCATGAAATACGGAAAATAAATGCACAAAAGGGTTGAAGGAAAAAACTCTAAAAAAGAAAAGAAAGTGCTCTTCTCACAGATGGTGTCTGCTCCAACCGGGGTGTCAGATGTCAGGGTATGGTTGGCTGATCATGGCTGTGGTAGTCAAGAAGACTGCATGTGAGCCGGCACATGGTCTCATGCTAAGTCCACATACATCCAGGGGGTCCAGCGTTTTGAGAACGCCGGCCCGTCAGGAGCAGCAAATTTGGATGAGTTTTCGGCCAAAAAACTCAGTTTCAATTTTGAAATGAACCCAGTCTGGCAGATACTTAGAAGTCGTCAAACATCAGTTGTTTCGTTATCTGCATCACAGTCTCCAAATCGTGAAGTGAAATCTCAAACAGTATCTCATTATCATCAAAGAAGAGAGTGGAGGGGGAATAGACAAAGGAGAGGAAGAGAGGTCACACAGTAAAATCCCGTCAGATCCCTCTTCTTCTCCGGGCTTCTTCCCTCTCCACGACAACAATTCTAATAAGTAGATTCCTGA